GAGTGAGGTGGAATCCATTTTTGTGATAATGAAATCTGGTTGTATTGAACAGATTCTGAGTTCATCTGAAAAATATTTAAATTGCTAATATTTATTCACCATCGTCTATTGTTTTATTAAAATGATTTTTATTTTTTGATATGCTAGCATATCACTGACTCTGATAAGACTTGAGCACTTTTTTATGATCAGTCATTTATTTGATTTACTCACCACCAATATAATGATCAAGCCAAACAAGCGATTCATTTTTTGAAGTGAAAGCAAAGTGTGTAAGTTAAAAAATGCTTGCTGGTGGTATTTTTGGTGTTTCCTCGTTGAGAGTTGTTTGCATTCGCACAGTGATTACTTTATGCAATAATCATTGAAAGGGACTAAATGCGAGTATTACCATGAAATGTTATTTCAGAAATCCAAATTTCAGTCCAATATCCAAGAAGGAATCTCGTCGTAAAGGTTCATCGACCACGTCGAATTTCCTCCACTCACTTCGACTGCCGTCATTCCGAATGCCCGGCACATCGTCGTCCTCATCATCACACTCACCGCACGATATGATTCCTAATCAAGGTAGTATCACTTCTTTGAAATTTGTGCACATCTGCAACGAAACAAGTGTAGATGAAGAAAACGCCGTTGAAATGGAGAAGATTTAGTTCTGAGAGGGATCTAGCTTAGATATTGGCTTGTGCTGGCAGAGTATGAAAAAAAAATCGCACGTTAACGCTGAAAGAAGTTATGAATAACCGGATTACTTACAATCAGGGGAATAGAATTTGTTAAATTGCGGCCCTTCCCGAATAAAATTATCTATGTTGGATATCCTTTGCTTATAAGATTCGAAATCATCATTATGAGTGATTTGTTCAGAATCTGAGATTGAACAAATCCACCAGATAAACAACTGTCCTCATTTTTCATCGTCTAATTGTCGTGAATCAAGAAATCGTAATACCACCCCAAATGAGTACTGCTGTCACTGTCATAATGATCGTATTCATCACTGGCAATTACATTATCGCTATAATCATAATCATGTCAACTTCATCTTCTGTTGTTCGTCAGGTTCCTCTCGGTCCCGGATCGTCTTCCCGTACAGTAACAATGTCGGCGTATCCGGCACGACCACCACCAATACGAACACGTATTCGAACTCGATTCTGATGCAGTCCACATCATCACAATCGCACTCATCGCTACCGTTAGCGATCAATAGTGCATCAGCATCCTCGAATGTCTCGTCGTTGAATCATCAACAGAAAGAGAAAGTTCGACAGTGGATCAGAAAAGAGGGTTAGTGCATACGATTCGTTGTT